CTGCGGACGGAAGAGTCCCGGGTTCGATTCCCTGTCGGGGCACAGGGCCGGGTTGCGGGCTCGATCCCCAGTGTGGGGCGAGCAGGAGGCGGCCGATCCATGATTCTCTCTCCTCATTGACGTTTCTCTCCCCCTCTCCCTTCCTCTCTGAACTCAATAAAATAGATTTGAAAAGAAACAGTCAGTGGAGTTCTCGCCATTTAAGGGGAAAGGCGGCCCCAGGGCACAGCCACCTGAGCCCCGAGCGCTAGGCCGGCTTTGCCGACGAAGGGACAGGGCGTGGGGGACCTGCGTCAGGTGCCCCGTCTTCATCCGGGAACCGGGGGGCCCACAGCTTCCTGTGGCCCAACCCCAGCCCTCAGCCCCCACTGCCGACGCCCCGGGCCCCTCACTGGAGCGACATGGATCCTGGTGACCAGACACATGAGAGGATCTGTGTGCACGCGTGTGACCTGACCCCTAACACATTGTTCACGGTGAAGGATGACGCGGACGTGCGGGGTGAGGTGCGTCAGGAGGGCAGCCTGCCCCCGTTCTGTGCGCTTGCGTGGTCGTGCTTTCTGCGGACGGACGGACGGACGGATGGGCGGGCACTTCGACCTCCCCTGACGGTCGCCGCACCGCGTGGGGGGTTCTCTCCGGACCCGGAAGCCCAGGTGCGCTTCCGGCCGAGCTTTGTCCTCAGTGGTTTCCGTGTTTCCTTCCTCCCAGGGCCTCCCGTTCGCCCTGAATTAGAACCCAGTGCCCAGGGAGGACGGGGAATGCCGGGGACACGGGGTCTGTCGGGAAAGCTGTCAGACCTGGGCTGGGGAGGGGGTGTGGGGGGCACCCCGAGACCCAGGGGGGATGTGCCCTTTGTTTACTGCCTTGTTATCTCTCATACGTCCTCGTCCTCGTAGCGCGTCCCCTCCCCGGACATACGGAGGGAAAGGCAGGGCCCTGCTGCTCTGTTTGTGGGACAGCGACCTCCAGTCCAGTCCCCGGGCAGGTTGCTGTTTAGAGGGGAGAGTGAGCCTTTCAATAGGACGTTCCTGTAGGAAATGAGGCCTCCTCAGGGCCTCCTCCCGTGAGTGTGGGGGGGATGGGAGGGGGTCAGGGCACCGCTTGTCAGTCCCCTCTGCCTCCCTGGGTCGCCTGGGAGTGGCCCTCGCTCAGCACTGGCCGGCTTTGATCCTGCTGTCTCTCTGTTATCTCCGCGTCTGAAAGGCGTCCTGCCTTTGGGGTAAAGTCCGCATTCCTCACCAGGCTCCGGCCCCTGCGGCTGCCCCTGAACGGCCAGCCCTCCGCAGTCCTGGCTTCTCTTCCAAGTCCCTTTGTTTGGACCTGAGCCTCCCCGTCCCGGCCAAAGGGGAGGGGGGCTGCCTCTGCCCCTCCCCAGGCACCGCCGAGCTCACCGAGGGCCCCAGGCCAGGATCAGGCCTTTGTCTCATCCCCAACTTCAGGCCCACTGTCCCCCCCATCCCTGCCCCCCACTGGCATCCTTGCGCTTCCCTTTTCCTCTGTGACACCGAGGGCCGAGGGCGGACGCCCAGTCCTTTGCTCAGAGCAGGCCAGGGCGCTGGTCTCTGGGAAAACCTTAAATAAAACCCCAGGCTGCAGGCTGGGTTTTCCAGCGACTTCCAAACGTTCACCCCAACCTGCTCCTTTTGTTTTTATTTATTTATTTTAAACGGGTCCGTGGTCCAGGTTCAGAGGAGGGAGGATAACGCAGGGAAAGCTCGAACAAACGGGCATCGGCGTCTGGCCGGTCAGCAGCCTGACTGGCTTCTCTTCCAAGTCCCTTTGTTTGGACCTGAGCCTCCCCGTCCCGGCCAAAGGGGAGGGGGGCTGCCTCTGCCCCTCCCCAGGCACCGCCGAGCTCATCGAGGGCCCCAGGCCAGGATCAGGCCTTTGTCTCATCCCCAACTTCAGGCCCACTGTCCCCCCCATCCCTGCCCCCCACTGGCATCCTTGCGCTTCCCTTTTCCTCTGTGACACCGAGGGCCGAGGGCGGACGCCCAGTCCTTTGCTCAGAGCAGGCCAGGGCGCTGGTCTCTGGGAAAACCTTAAATAAAACCCCAGGCTGCAGGCTGGGTTTTCCAGCGACTTCCAAACGTTCACCCCAACCTGCTCCTTTTGTTTTTATTTATTTATTTTAAACGGGTCCGTGGTCCAGGTTCAGAGGAGGGAGGATAACGCAGGGAAAGCTCGAACAAACGCTGCCCTGCCCCCGGCCGGTCAGCAGCCTGACCCTCCGCTCCCTGCTCCCTCCTGCCCTGTCCCCGGCCGGCTGTGCTGCCTCCCCACGGGGCGAGCTCGGGCCTGTCTGTGGTCAGCTCCCCTCTGACCAGGAGCCCCCTCTTCCCAGAAGCGCCGTGTCCCCACGCCTGGCCGCCCTCCCTAGCCCCACGTGGGCACACACAGCTGCCCGGCCTCCCTAGCCCCACGCGGGCACACACACAGCT